GCATTATTCTTGACTGCATTCTTCCAGTCTTCTGGATAACTGTGCCGTCTGCGAGCTGCAGCAGAAGCGACCCTGGCCGAGGCAGCCGAGACAAATGATTCTTTGTAGCTCATTGCAGTGTTGTTAAAGCTGGAACAAATTTCATTAACTAGCAATTAGAGACAAAAATACAAGTAATGAGCTATTTTCTACTTAGAAAACAACGATACTGAATGCTTGCTCTTGAATGCAAGTTGTGATACACAAGGCAAGCTGAAGAAAATACCCAGAGGAACACGCACAAAGACTTTAACCAGAAAGTTTCATGCAGCGAAAGTACCCACAGGGCCTGTTTCTCCTTTGCACGATGTATTTTCACGGGTGCAGCCCTGACTTCCCCAGCTCAGGGAAGATGAGCACCCGGGGCGGTCACGCGCAGGGAGGGAGGAACTCCGGGGCAGCACACGTGGAGAGCCGGGCGAGAGGGAACGATGCCAAAGGCCACCCAGCTCTTGGAGCAAATCATTCATTTCTTCAATTCCCTCCCCGTCAGTGTGGTAAAGGGCACTTGTGAATGGGTTTTGGACCCGAGCTGGTAACTTTTCCCTACAGTTTTGCAAAGCCAATTTAAATGTTATTGACCCAGCCTCCCATCTCCCTCTCAGCTTAACAGGTAACCAGAGGAGCTGGGATTTTGAAAGCTTTCTTGAGAGTAAAGCCCGCACTAGAACAATTTCACTGCTCTTGAGTTAGTCTGCATTAACGACATTTAAATTTTGACCAGGGTCTTTAGTAAGAATTCAAATATAACTGTTGGGGTTTTTAAATATATATTTCAAAAATTAGAGCCATCTGAACTATGCAGGGCAGCACATCTTCTGTATTTATTTTTATTCCTAATCTAGACTCTACATCAGCTGTCCTCATGGTTTGGTAGTGTGAAGTACTGGAAGCCTACCAATACATATATATAAAACTTCCTTTTTGGTTCCCATTGGTAGAAGGACAGATTCTTTTTCTCTTCAAGTCACTAAAAAGTCGCCGTGTGGGCTAATTCAAGACAAATGTGAACACATGATATCTGACCAACGGATGTGAGGCTGCGTTTGAAGGAAGTATGCTGAAAAGGACTGTGTCCTAGGGGTCTTCACTAGGAGAGAGTGCTTGCAACCACTCGGAGAAAGGATTCTGTTACTGCTGTGGTATTTTGGGCTCCAGACTGCAATGTTTAGAATGTGCTCTGCTCAGACGGTGATGGGAGCAGCCCCTCCGCCATGGCAACTAACATATGGCTTTGCATTGTTGCTAATAATCACACAACAGAAAGAAAAAGAAGGACATCCTTGCATACACAGACTATGGAAGTCTATGACTGCATTCTGCAAGGCTGTAACTAGAAGTTATAAATTGCTATATTGCATATTTTCACTTCTCATCTAGTTGAAAAAAACAGTGTATACAGTTTTTGCAGATAGTCCATCTATTTTGCTGAACTACCTAGAGCTCAAGGATGCCATTTAGTCCTAGCTGGGTACAAGCACAAGAAAAGGCCAGGGGAAATTCGCTCGATATAATTGTTTTTGTCAGGTATGGATGAGTATCTTTTTTTGCAAGGCCACAGTACCCCCTTTCCATATTAATGGATCTTTTGCCACAAAGGCAGAAGAAATATAAGACACATTTGCTCACAAACTGCCGGGAAGGTTGTAGAATTTTGCAGGGTTAGCAGCACAGCCCTTAGCCTGCTGTTTGGCTTCCAGGCACATCACTTTCAGCAATTTATAAGGGACCGATGCACTTGATCGGTAGTTGACTCCATCCTCAGCACCGGACACTGAGCTGGTTATGGGAGGAAGGATAGGCTGTGCACAGGTGAAGCCCACGGAGGACTTTTCAGCCATACTTCAACTGAAGGTATCCTGTGCCCTCGCAACGAGGCTCAGCCTCACAGGAGAGACACCAGGAGAATACCAGTGCGCAGCTCTGCCTGAACCTATCCCCATCCACCCTACATGTTCTGGAAAGGAAGAAACCCTCTGAAACTAAAGACATCCTGCTCCAACCTCTCCTTTACATACCCAAATACACCTGCTCCGCTGCCCCTGCAGCAGATGGCAATTTGTGTCAATGCCAGCCCACTGCAATGGGGTCCAGTACAGACTGAGAGACCTGAATATGCCGTGCCAAGAGAGACCGTAATCACTGTCACTGGAGCACAGCAACAGATTGGGAAGGGGAGTATTGTTGTCTTCATTTTACACAGAGTGGGCTGAGATACAGCAACATGTAGGGTGTTCTGTCTTTGATTAAAAGACTGGTGATTATACACAAAAATAGCTGCTGATCTTAAAATTCTAGGAAGCACTGATTACATTGTGCCAAAGGAATAAAGAAATCCTAAAAAGTCACACCAGAAGCGTATTATAAATTTTTCTCTCTTGCTTTCTGTTCTCTTACTTGGAAGGCTTCTGTTATCCAGCTAGAGTTGACAGAAGTGGCCGAGGGCACATCACAGGCCATGGACTGTGAAGGGCGAGCAGCCCAATGACCTGCCCACAAACAATCCTGACTTGGAGATTCTTTATCCAATTTTCTCTCATAACGACAAACAGACCTGAAAAAATAGTAGGATCAATTCACTAACCAAAGAAGGGCTAAAGCAATAATGATAAATTCAATTCCAGTATGTATTACCTTGTGCAATATAGATTTAGTATACAGATATTAATTTGAATTTTGCATAGCTTATCTGAATTGCATCTCCAAACCTTTTCAATAGTCACTAATCTTTGTTACTAAAAATCATTGGATTGCTTATTTAGGTGTCACGCATACAATAAGAAAAGAAAAGATACTAAAGAACTAGAAGAGAAGATACTAAAGTACTCACTTTATTTGCAAATCCCTCCAGTGACTCAGGTTTTATAAATCTGAAAATTAGTTTTATTTATGCATAATAAAAATTAATTTCTAAATTGAAGGCAATAAGCAAACCCATACAATTCTTAGACGATGCGGTGTTTACTCCTCTTCCATTTCCTTCAGCTTTATCTTCCTGATTTGTCATTTCTAGCATCGAATTGTTTGTATTCATATCAACAGCAGATTTACGTGGGTAAAATTTGCACACCAAAAAATCAGTAACCTCATAGTGAGTTCCATTTGTATTGATGGCACTGACAGTCATGAACTCCTACTCTGATTCTTTGTAGTTACTTTACAGGCTGCGGTAAAGCAGCGAGCCTGGCTGTGCAATTGAGACGCTGTTCTTCAGGTAACTAAAATAAGGGTGTCTTCGCCCTTTTGGGGGACAGCCGTACATCCGCACAGAAAGCGGCTCCGCCGCTAAGGGCGGCGCGAGAGCAGGGCGCGGGCTGCAGGGCTGGGGGGCTGCGGGCTGTGGGGCTGGGGGTCCGGCACCACCTCTCGCTCGGCAGCGGGCACGGGTGCTTCTTACAACCGCGGCACGGGCAGCAAACCGAGAGATAGGTCATCTGTTGCGCTGGCTAATGCTAGCTCCGAGAGGTCTACGTTTAAATAAATATTTGATATTGTCCAGGAAATACAGAGGGGTTTGCGTGTACGTTTCCCTGCTAAGCTAGCCCTCTACGCGCAGCTGCGGGAATACAGCGGGTGCACGGACTTTCCTTAGTTCTCTTCTCCTGAGCCTAGCTCAAGACAGCTCTGGAGAAGAAACCTGGTTTAGCGATTATGAGGTCACGGGAGACTCACCAATGCCTGCAGGATGGAAAGGGTGAGGGGAGGACGGAGGAGGCTGTGGGAGGACAGGGACAGCGCGGGGCTGGCGGGAGGGCTGTCATCGTTAAAAAAGCAAGCAGCACCCGTGCCCCACGTGGGGACTGCTGCCCAGGTTTTGACGCCCCTGCTGAACGCCGGTGTACGGCACCTGTGAAGAGGACTGAGCGATCAGAGCCCGAGCAAGGAGCAGAACGCCTCGGAACCGCCACAGCAGGACCAAAACCCTGGCTGCCAGAGCGGCACAGAGCGCTGGCTCAGGCCGTGGTCCCCTGCAGCGTCCCGCAGGCCCTGCACCGAACAGCGGCAACTAGGTGGGCGAAGCGGGGCTGCCACCACGCGCGGGGCTGCCTGTGCCTGTCTGCTGGCAGAGGACGGAAAACTCATCTTTATCGGGGGGAGAGTGTTCTTCCCCAAACAGCGCCCCGCCGCGTCCTCTCGGGGCGCGCTCCTGAAAGCGACCTACGAGTAATTCTTCCAACAATACACCTAGGAAATGAGGTAGCTCTGCCAGGCACTAAAGCCCACGAACTGACCGCGTCTGAACCCGATCGCCGTATCCCCGCTAACCCCCACCCCTCCCGCTGCCCCGCCGGCGGCAGACCCAGCCTGCCCGATGGGCAGTCCTGTGCAAGCGGCTTCATCGCCTGC